CAGAGCGTGAAAAATATCGTTTCTTTGATGACATACGATAAAACCTGTCAACCGTTTCGCCTCAAATTCCTTTCGTTCAAATTGATCTCATATCAGTTACACGAAAAAATGGTATATCATGTATGAAACGTACAACATGTTTTATAAAAGTCTAAAAAAATTCAAAAAAGGGAACTCGAAATGAAACCAATAAACAGAAAGAAAACACATCGCCGATCGGCTCGTATTTAATTGGAAATATGTAAAATGAAAGCAAACAGAAACGAGAGCTATATTTTTTGTAAAAACAGATCTTCGTTTGACGAACCTGATGGTTAGTCATTAAAAAATTGTATTTTCATGACTTTAAAAAAGTTGTACGGTATCAGAAGAAGGAAGTATTATGATTTCAGGGGCCACTGAGTATAAAGAAAAGCAAAATATTAGATTTAGATTATATTAAACATATAGAAACGAGGAAATAATGGCACACGCATAGCGTATGAGCGCAAAAGAATTCATCTTTCGCGGTACAAACTGCCAAAAATATAAATATAAAGAATTATTTTTATTCCAACATTTTAAATAAAATGTTATTTTACACACAATATCAAAGTTTTAAAATGGTCGACAAAATCACTGGACTTTCGAAATACTATCAAAAACGTATGAAGACGATTAATTCGTTATGGACATCGTGAATGGAAAACAACTGAATTCCTTCGATTGATCAAAAATCGCTATTAAGAAAGGCTAATGTTTCACTTCTGAGAAAATTATATTAAAAAATTTCCGTAAAAGTCTACGTAAAAGAATAAAAGAGGAGGGAATTACTAAAATTCAGATGAAACATTTTTATTCAGTTATTACCGTTTTATAATTTTATTCCATCTGTTATTGAACAAACATCTACGGTTTCAAGAGAATAACTAAAATAATAACGGTTTTAAGGAAGCGATATTTTTTTATAGATCTATGTACAAAATCTCTGCACATCATTGTTCTTGAGAAAACGAAAATTGAGAATGAAAAATCCAGGTGTATCCAGGTGTATGAAGAATAGAACTGTGGATATAACTGATAAAAGAATCGGTATTTATGAGCACGGTCGTTTAAATTTTTAAATACAGACTTAAAGTTTTCAAAGTTTTATGCGTGTATATACACTGGCTTCCTATAATGGAGGGTAATGTAGCCTAAGTAAGTAAGAGTTCTTACTCAGGAATAAATAAATGTGCACTGTGAGAGTTCCAAAACTCATTCTCCGATATTAAATTACAGACACACAAAACAGCAGACGTTTGTAATATGAAGAAGAATAAAACTGAGTTTTTTTTTTTTTGGTTCACTTTTGATCTCTGATGAAATCAAAGAATCAAAAATTTACTTTTTACATTATCTTAATTTCCGTTCAAGATCCTAAAATGTTAAATCAAATCCTTTCTCTCTTGCTTCTACTTCTTATTGCATCGTCCTGTTAATACAAAGATTTTAGTTTTAGATTTTAAGTAAAAATTTAAAGTAACTTAGGTTACGAATTAGGAGGATTCAAGAAGGAATTTAAAACTGGAGAGTCGTATTACCATCATTTTCTTTATTATTACAATTAACGTAAAATCGTTATAAATCTGAGAATCGATATTGATTGACTATTGGTTGGATTGAAAGCTTGTAATCTTAATTTGCTTCGATAATTGTAGAATTACTTTATATCAGAAAATTTTTGCCAAACCGTATATATATATAAGATTAAAGTACACGTATGTCAGTTTGATCGATAATACTATTGCTATCTTTACCATATTCTGTGAAAATGTTATTCCGTAAAAACAAAAAAAAAAAAGAAAAGAAAACGATTATTTCAGATATTACTATTCGACACGCATTCCGATGTCTAATGTCGACCCGTAACAGGAAGTTTTCAGGAAGTTTAGAATCTAGGATATTTAGGGCACGCCTCCAGAGAAGGTTCTTTGAATTAATGATAAAATATGCAAGCAATCTCAAGAGAGGTAACCTCTTGTTGCAATCATGGCATGTTAATGTTTTACGGTATCAATTCTCTTCCTTATCTTCCCAAGGAACGAGCACAATCCCATTTATTTGCTGCCTGATTATATTCGAAAGCTTGAGAGAAAATCTCCGCCAGGAACGTAATCATTCGTCCGAAGAACGAAGAAGATGATATTGTTAGAATATAGGCCAAAAGGAGGCAGGTGCATATCGATGAGTCACGTTTCTTTTTCATCGTTATTCGATAAATATATATAAAATAATCCAAACAAGAGATTACTCGTCAAATTTTTTTTCGAACGCGCTCTCCGCGCGAAAATATTCCGCACGATGCCAAAAAGGATACGTAGACGCAGGTCGACTGGTTTTAAATCAGCGCGACGACAGGTGCCACAAACAGCCTGGTTTGTCCCGCGAGAACGGTTGCCGCAACCTTTGGCCAATTAACTAGTGGAATTGTGTAGCAGTCGATAGCACTTCTGGAACAGTATCCAGCGCGAAAAAGAAAGCACTTCTGTGCCGCGGATTTCTGTGTATGTTCAGGAAAATACGCGCGCACACGCGCGGGAAATTTACACGTACAGACGTACAAACTCGTACAGGAACGAACGTGTGCAGCGTGAAAACTCGAGGGCGCTCCGCGCCTCTAAATTAAAGGCGCACGTCTGTGAATTCTCCAGTCAGTCGTCGGTTTTCCGTGGAGCTACCACCTCGAACATTTCATTTTCGCGTAGATATTTAACGTTCAACGTTCGCGGCCCCCCTCCCACACCCGTCCTCCGCCCTTTCTAACTAATCGACGAAGTTTCGAACCGGTGAAGCCCGCTGCATCGATGTCGGAGCACCGGATAACTAGTGTTTCCTTCCGAGTGATGCGAGTGCCTTCTTTCGAACGAACAGCTTCGCTCATGTCGATGTTCTATTTTCGATCGACGAAAGTTTCCTATGGTCACGTGTAGCTTATCGAAGGTTTTACAGTTGCAGTAGCCGGTACTTCGTATCCATTGGAAATGTCACGGATGAGTCAGTTGTTATAGGCAACTTGCCCAGTTCAACGCGTTCAAGTGATGTTTAATTAAAGACATTCGTCGTCGCTGTCGAACGATAGGGGATTAATAACGTCGAGAGGTAATCAATGATCGAGATCGACGACGTAAATTTCATTTGGCGGTCACGCGTTGGTTCGCTTTGCTTGACGCATTGATCGATGTTGAGAGGATATGTTTGAGACGAGATCGACAACTTTCGAAGAAATGCTAATGTTTCTTTTCTCGTTTTGCTTCTAATTTTGAAGATAATTTTCAAGAAAGGGAGTTATTTGCTCATTCGCTCATCGTATCACACAATTTCCATTTTTAAGGTCAATGGAAATAATTGTAGATGCTCATCATTCGGTAACAGTCATTTCATACGTTTAAGTAACCATTTAGAATTTAGAAGGAACGAAGAAACAATCGACATTTAGATTTTATTTCAACCTCGCGTTTGTTCATTTGTTTTCCCTGCTCTCTACACGGATGAAGTATCCATTTACCTTCATAAATATAATAATCAAAAGCCTGCTAAAGATAAAGAGAAAAAGTTGGAAGCAGTTCTTTAGAACTATCATTAGCGCAAAGGAAAATATACAGAATGCTTATTGTTGTATGTACATTTATATCCGAGAAAGAGGAACGTTTAGTTGTTCAAGTGAAATAACGTTGCTACACATTGTTCGATATAACACGAACTAAATTATCGCGCGATATCTTTCGAAAAGCAAATTTCAATGCGCAACGCGTAATACTTGTCGAGTTTGAATGTGTTTCTCTGTTTATACGACATTTGTGAGTATATTTTCTCGATCATTTTCTCGATCATTCCGAAGAAAAAGAAAAAAACTGTTGCCCAATTTCTATTTCAGAAATAGAATCCGGGAAAAAAGGTTTGACGTCAAGGTACGAAACGATAACAGCTATGTTTGCTTACTTCCAGATCAATCGAGAAGTGCTGTTTGCACCTGCGAAATCATTCACGTAACGATTCTCGTACACGGTTCGACACTTCCCCGCGATACGTTTACACCGTTGTGCACTCCTCTTCGAATCAGGTCAAGCCTGCAGCACTCTGATTTCTCCATCGTTCGATTTTGATGTGCGTCATTAAAAGAGCGTACACATATAACCGGGATCACCGGGTTGCCGAGGCATATTCGGCAAAGGCCTCTGTTTCCGCGAGCAGTCCGATTGTGGATCGCGCGCACGGCGTGGCCTCATCTTCAATTTCTCAAATGTTCCAACATCAGTGCTCCCGTTGACGCACATCGCACGCCAGAAATGTGTATCGTACCGCGAATTTACTGCTTCGACGAAAGCCGAATGCTGCTGGCGAAATTTTAAGAACAATCGATCCGAGAGAAAGAGCTGACGTTTTTATGCTCTTTGCCACTTCCTTTCTTCTTCCATGGGCGATTAAATATTTTTCAACCGCCGGGAGATTGTCTGTCCGTGGTGCTGTCGCATCCTGTCATA